CACATATATAGAGCTCCTCCCCGACTTACAACAGAGTTAGGGACCCAAATCCAGGTCGTAAGTCGAAATGGTCGTAAGCTCAGCAGGTAGTAGGTAGTAGGCAGCTACCAAACAGGGAGGTACTACCGCCTGGGAAGATATTGGAAGCATAATGTGTTGTCTAATGGTAGACCCTGCTGCCATATACCTTATTGTGACCAAGTCCCAGGTTACTGATCTGACTTGCTGCCCCATTTACACACAATTGCAGGGTCTCAATTGTTTCTCTTACTATTGACAACACAACATACTGTACATTTAGCGTTTCTCACTATTGATTATTATTATTTTTTTTATTATCATTATTAGTGTTGTTATTATTATTATTGTTATTATTATTTTATTTTACTTTTTATTATAAATTTTATTCACTATGAAGTACTGTACTGTATTATTACTATTACATTTTCAACCCCCGGGCCCCAATGTGGATCAGTGACCTGTGCCCGGGTGGGCTAATCCCTTAAAACAAAAATCGAAAATGATTAAATAATACATAGAAAATCTAAAATGAGTCTCTTTTTCTTCTCAGCACCACAAAACTCTCACTTTTAAGCTTGCCAGCCATTTTAAAGTGAATTAAAACGAAATTTTCTGTGTACTGACGTTGGGACTCGAAAATAACTAATTTGACAAAATTTTGGCCCGACTGAGGTAGGTCGTAAGTCGGGGAGTAGCTGTATACAATGAGTAAAAAATAATTGACCTAAGGGCAAACACATTTTAAGAACCTAACCCCCACAAATTTAAAGGGCATGCTGTAATAATAATAATAATGATAATAATAATAATGATAATAATAATAAAATAATAATAATAAAAATAATAATAATAATAATAATAATAATAATAATAATAATAATAATAATAATAATAAATAAAAAATATAAATAACAGATCAAGAGTGAGAAACGATATACCCCTGTATGTATGTTGTGTTGTCAAAGTAAGAGAAACAAATAAAAAAAACCTGCAATTGTGTGTAAATGAGGCAGAAAGTCAGATCAGCAACCTGGGACTTGGTCAAAATTTAATGATGCCATATAGCAGCAGGGTCGACCATGATAACATAACATAATAACATAATAACATAGTAAGAAACATTGTATCATTACTAGAGTGAATGAACTAATATTCCCACAAACAACAAATGATAACTTGAGCAGCTGTGTCCCACTCACTGACGCCTTGGTTCCTTGAAATTTTGGCTCAAGGCGGACATGTCCTCTGAGTACAAATTTTTTCCTACTTTTTTTTTTTTTTTTAATATTTTCTGGCAAATAATTTTGTCCAGCTTAAGCGATATCCATCTTAGCGGGGCCACCTTAATGAGGTTTTACTGTACAGGTATTAAAAATAATTAAAAGGCATCTCAAAACTACTGAGGCACTTACCAGCATAGACCTTTCTAATTCCTACCTTTACACCTCAGTATTGTAGCACAGACTTTGCAGAAGATGTCAACACAATAAATCAATAAATAAATAAATAAATAAATAAATAAAATAAAGAAAATTTATTATTTTATAATATGCAATGAAAAGTACAGTAAAATGGGTTGATAGCAATTTGGCCAAGCTGTAAAGATGAGTGGCAAACAAATGGGTTTGGACTGAGAAGAGCAGTACAACTGAAGAGTACAGTACTGTACAGTAAGAAAGCCTACAATTATGAGTGATGGTGTCAGAGATGCAGTAATTATTGACATTAACTCATGACTCAGTTTATTTTTGGTAGCCAAAGAAGGCAACCTTCAAGCCACTCGATACCTTGAACGGTTCTGAACATGTTTGGTGAAGACTTGTTGGCAGCAAATGCATTATTCACTTCAATAATTCTTCCTGAAACTGAACTATTATGCCCCAGGGCAACTGGTGAGCTCTGCTAGGGTGTTCAGTGAGCTGGGATCAGTGGTTATATATGTATGCCTGTACTGTTCTATACACTATGAAGTCATCTGGGATAACTATTGCCTTGCTGTTTGATATAATAACAATCTGCCATCTTTACTCATACTAAAAAGTATACTGAACTGTGTATGAGACACTGGATTTCTTATTGAACAAATTTCTATTAAATTTTAAAATAACAACAACAATATTTGTGAATAAATAATTTCCTCTGTCAGTCAAAACTTTAATAAAAAATTTAAATTGGTAAATATTAGCATATTTTTACACAGAAAACTGCACTTGTGAAACATTACACAGTACCAAATATTGTATACAATATCATATATTATACAGTACCATACTTTACACAGAATCATATATTATACAGTACCATACTTTACAGAATCATATATTATACAGTACCATACTTTACACAGAATCATATATTATACAGTACCATACTTTACACAGAATCATATATTATACAGTACCATACTTTACACAGAATCATATATTATACAGTACCATACTTTACACACAATCATATATTATACAGTACCATACTTTACACAGAATCATATATTATACAGTACCATACTTTACACAGAATCATATATTATACAGTATCATTTACTGTATATTATACAGTATCATATATCATGTTCAACATCAGTGACACATTACATCCTGGCCACTATATACTAGTTTAATAGGAACAACATAGAGCTCGAGCACTGAGATGTTCTTCATCACTTATAAACTCAAGGAATTAGACAGTCTTACATGTGCTGACTCTCAACATATGTAAAGTACAGTAAACCACTGCAGCAATAAATCATTTGTATTTTTGCTATATGATGATGTGATCTAATTAAATATGTGACAGAATTAAGTCATACTGCTTTTCTGTTTACTACAACAGTAAGTTTTTCTAATTTGAATCTTCTAATTTTGTTAACAGCTCAAATAATTTGGGTTACATGAAATGACGGTCTGTTTGTGCTGTACTGTACATTACTTTAATGACCTAAGCAATAACTTATCAACAAAACAACAAAATATGCTCAAAAAAGTCTACAGATGAACATTATTATGTACTGTACATAAAAGGTATCTTCATATGTATTTTACAAACAAGTTTGATCACAAAATAATCTAAAAGAGAAAGTATAAGTACTGTACTTGTAAAGTTATTAACATTATGTATTCAAGAAAAACAATATTATATTGTAACTACATAATTCACATTCATGACATTGTACATTAAAAATATACTGTACTGTATTGGCAGTTAATTTCAAAATTCATATTTCCCTTACATTTTCTCCTACTGTATATGATATACTGTACTGAACTTTCCGTTCCCAAGATGTTGACAGCTGCCTTTCCATCACCCACATTAACATTCTGTTATCTTTGTCTTCTATGTAACTCCTGACACAAATCACAAATACAGTGGAATATTGAAAATATATTAGTACATTCCATAAACAGTAAACTCCTATTTTCTCTGAGAATGGGAAAATATCCTAACCTCAGAATGCCTGGTCATAATACTGTATCCAGTGTTGGTCTGGTAGTGTGGCTGTCTGATGCCACTCACCCAATGTTTACATTTCCTGAGGTGGTGGTGTTGGCAAGTTTCTGCTCATTTTATCGGCCAATTCACAGTTTTTGTGTAGTGATGCAAAAGTAAACATATTAAGCTCAATCTCTTGAATAAAGGTAAAATATTACAGAAACTTGATAAAAGTGTGGCAGTGAATGACCTCCATGAGGAGTAATGGTGTTGGTTTATCTAGCATTTATGACCTAAGGAAGTAGTAAACATATAAATACTTAACATTTATATTTCAAGGTACTGTACTTATACCTTTACAAATAAAATCACATTAATAACCCATAAGAACTACAGTATATTAGGTATATAAAACACCTTTAGTAAAGTTATATAATGTTAGGTGAGCTTTCTGGTACCTTCTACACTTTAGGATTCTAAAACCTGACAATTTCCAAATTCTGACAACTGCTTGGTCCCAATTGTGTTGGACTTTTTATGTTTCACTGTATGAATATAATGAAGACTCCTCATTTAACTTGATATTTTGTTCTTGGATGATTTGATTATGACCAACTGTGTACAGTATTAATCATCAATGGAAAAAAAAATTATGTTCTTTATTGGCCAATTATGGGAACTATTCAATATTAAAGCCCTAATACTGCACAGGATATTGCAAAAATAAAATTAAAATAACAATAATGTGTACTGTAAAGACCATTTTTCTTATACTTCCTACCACAACTATGAGTGAGCAAAAAGGTACTGGGTAAGTGGATATGCCAGGTAAGGGTGAGTAAACAACCAGGTAAGGGTGAGTAAACAACCAGCTGGATGGGCACACGCACGCACGCACGCACGCATGCACACACACACACACACATACTACTACTACTACTACTTTACTGTCACTTGGAATCGAGTATGACGATCATCCAGCTATGATAGAATGGTATAAAATATTATTATTTATGTCACCTAGGTTGAGTTTTGAGGCGACTAACGAGGCCAATACGGGACCAGCAGGGACGTTCACATTCGTTGCACTTGTGGAGGGCTACATCTAGTGCGGGAGGGACGGTGGCAGCGACTTTCCGGCGTTGGCATTTGTCTACCTCAGTTTGCAGTCGGGCTAACTCGTAAGTACTGACTCCTTCTCGTGTGGTGCTCCTCCAAGTGTTACAATGTGGAGTAATCAACTCCCAGGTGAGGGGGTCAATCTGGCACTTTTTCAGGTTTGTCTTGAGAATATCCTTATACTGTACATTTTCAGTTGCCCGCCGGCGTTACGTTTACTATTCGTTAGGTGACTGTAAAGTAGCTGTTTTTGCAGTCTACTGTCGTCCATGCAGGTAGCATGGCCAGTCCAGCGTAGTTGTTCATGGATAATGGTAGCCTCGACGCTCCTACGGTTGGTGTCAGCAAGAATACTGGTACGAGGTGTGATCCAAAAGTTCCCGGACTGGCTTCATTGGAGGACCACTGTGATGCCGTGCTTCGCCAGAACATCATTCACAGTGAGGACAGTGTGCGCAGGTGCATTTTCCTGGTGAAGGAGCCAATTGCCAGTTGTCAGTCAGAATTTGGTTAACATTTCCATATGAAAGGTCCAACCGCTTTAAATGGACAAGTTGGTAATTTTTCTGGACATTTTCATCACTTCTTTCAGTGGAAAGCCACCCAAAACAAAGCTCATTTTCAAAGGAGGTGCACCCTTCTTTGAAGAGCTTGTGCCCCTTGAAAACTTGAGCCCTGGACATTGCTTCATCTTTGTAGGCTTTCTTGATCATTTCATGGGTTTCTGCACCAATGTTTCCTAGTCTGAAGCAAAATCTGATGGCACAGCATTGCTCGATACTTACCTCCATGTTGAGGATTGAGTGGCGACTGACTCAAATTAGCAGATGGGCTGGTACACACACTCGCACAAAGTTGCACAATGGCCGGTTGGTGACACAGATTCCCGCCAAATCGACGCAGTAAATAACTTATACCCAAGGTGAGTAACTGCTGATGATTTGAATTCGATATCTGCTAAGAGAAAGGTTTTATGAAGTCAGTCCGGGAGCTTTTGGATCACACCTCGTATTTGTTCTCTTGTCTACCCAGCAAACACGGAGGATAGAACGTAGACTACGTTGGTGAAAGTTTTCAAGTGCCTTGAGGTGCCTCCTGTATGTAACCCATGCCTTACTGCCATATAGCAGGGTGGGGTTGGACCACTGCTCGATATACAGTACGTGCAACTTTGTAGATAATTTCAGTTCCTGCAGCTGAAGGCACGGTTTCGGAGTCTGTCAAAGGCATGAGATGCACATCTGATCCGATGCTGAATCTCTTCATCGATGCCCACTGTGGTGGACAGGTGGGAGCCGAGATACCGAAAGTGGGTAACATTAGAGAGGTTAGTACCGTTAACCCTCTCAGTCTCGCACGACGCCATTGTGGCGGGAACACAAAAGGCAAAAAAACTTGCACTCAGCCCCGCAATGTCAATGTGCTATATTTTCAATTAACTCAAAAATTATTCAGTGAAACTGACTGAACTATGGACGCCATTTGACAGACGTCGTTTTTTTCTTGCGTGGGCCTTATCACCTTCCCCAAGACGGTCTTGACCATCGAGTGCGTGGCAAAGCAGCATGAAACCAGTGTCGCTCTGACCATCTGAGTGAGAGGAGGGTGCGCCACTCGGCCCTTTAATTATTCCATGAGTTTTTGTGTTATATTATTTTTCCTTAGGTCCACCACCGATTTTCCGGCACCCTTGGTTCCAAAGCCTTGCCAAATTATCCGTTTTGCCAGACCAACCGAGGTCAGGTAATAATAATTCAACAATACACCTCTGACCCTCTAATTATACACCTCCTGTGTCTCTAAAGCACCATGGACTGTTAAAAACTTAAAATTAAATAAATATGAAACGTAAATTAAATGTGAAAAAATATAATTTTGAGCAACATTACTGTACACACTTTGTACTCAAACGTACTACACTAAACTAAAAAAATTATCTCTTGTGCAAACTATGTGATGTTTACAGTCAAATTAATCATTATCTCACAAGGAATCCAGAAATACAATTATATTCTGCTAAGTCTAGTCAGCTACATTTTATAAGATAAAAACGTTAAGCCTAAAACTACCTTCACCCTGGCTGGGAGGGAGGGAGGGAAGTTAAGTGCCTTCTCATAATTTTGTCCAGACTAAAGGAGGTTGCCGGACCATCAGTTCCCGGATAATCGGTGGTGTACCTGTACCACAATATTCTACATGCCTTGGTCTTTATTTTGGTATATCGCACATATCAGTGAACACCATAATACAGTACAAGCAAAATGTGAATGGCTTAAATTTCTAGAATTTTAAATTGTTTATGGTTTCATACAATTTTTCAGACAATTTTATGCTTGAAGAGACCCCATTACAATTAATAAAACAATTCCATGAGCCCTAATTTTTTTTTTCCAGCAAAAACTTCCGAGGGTGAGCGTAAGTTTTCATACACGTATGTGTCTCAGGCTACGAGACTGAGAGAGTTAAGCTGGATGGATGGTGGAGGTGTCTGAACCAGGGGCAGGATGAAAGAGAATCTGAGTCTTACGTACATTCACCTCAAGGCCGAAGTGTGCACACGCATCTGTGTAGGTGTACAGGATCTCCTGACGGTCATGTTCAGTGTGAGCGACAAGGGTGAGGTCGTCTGCATATTGCAGTCCAGTAATGGAAGCTGCTGACACCTTTGTTTCTGCCTGGAGTCATCTTATGTTGAAAAGACCCTTCATACGGTAATTGATGTCCATCCTGCCGGCTAAATTGGCACTGGCACAAGTAAGGAAGGCAGCCAAGAAAATGGAAAAGAAAGTTGGTGCCAGTACGCACCCTGTTTGGATGGGGAAGAACTCTTGACTGGGTGCCGTTGTGCAGGACATTGCCGTTCATGTCATCGTGGAGTTGCCTCACAATGGCGATGAATTTTGGTGGGCAGCCAAAACAGCTGAGGGTCCACCAGAGGGCTTCCCTGTTGACCGAGTCAAAGGCCTTGATTAGGTCGATAAAAGCTATGTACAGGTCATGACGCTGTTCTCTGCACTTTTCCTGTATCTGACGGGCAGCAAAGATCATGTCAGTGGTGCCACGTGATGTTCTAAAACCGCATTGAGATTCTGGGAGGAAGTTTTCCGCCTCGGAAAGGAGTCTGTTTCAGAGGACTCGGGCGATAATCTTGCCAGCTACAGACAGCAGCGAGATCCCGCAGTAGTTACAACAGTCTGACCGGTCTCCCTCGTTCTCATAAATATTGACAATGGAAGCGTCTTTAAGAGCTTGGGGGATTTCCGCCTTTTCCCATATATTCTCCAGGAGAGAGTGGAGACAGCTGGAAAGCAGAGGTCCTCCTGCTTTATACACCTCGGCTGGGATTCCATCAGGCCCTGAGGCTTTGTTATTTTTCATCTGTTTGATGGCAGTAGCTACCTCATCCAGAGATGGAGGATAACTGAGGTGGGTCAGCTCTGGTTGCTGAGGGACCTGCTCTTTCCAGCGCTGAAGGAGGCCTTCATCGTCTTTAATTATGGAGTTACCGTCAGATGAGCGGAGGGGAGCTGCGCATCTTGTGCTGATCTGCAAATTTTTGTGTTTCACATGCTTTATTTTCAAACCAGTCGTTCTTTAGATTGCGAAGTTCCCGCTGGGCTGCCGCTTTCTTCTTGCGGAAGGTATCAGCTTTGGTCTGAGACTGAGGGTTGCTCTGCCAGTCAGTTAATGCAGCACGTTTATCATTGATGAGTACATTGATTGCCGGGTCATTTTCATCAAACCAGTTCTAGTCATACACAATAGTAGTGTACAGTATTATCAGTGACTCTATCAATGCAACCACTCTTCATCTGTCCCCAATGCACTTGCCATACATCCTATGGGGGTGAGTATGATACTGTGTGTGTGGGGATGTATGGATGGGTGAGTGTGAGTGTATGTATGAAGGGGTGTATGAATGGGTGGGTGTGAGTGTATGCATGAAGGGGTGTATGAATGGGTGGGTGCGAGTGTATGTATGAAGGGGTGTATGAATGGGTGGGTTGTGAGTGTATGTATGAAGGGGTGGGTTGTGAGTGTACGAGTATGTGTGGGAGGGTTTATGGGTTGGTGGGTGAGAAGCGTTACCCTGGAGTAAGGCAGCAGTTATTAGTAAGGTTATGGTAGAGAACCTAACTCAGGAGAGCTGACAATTCATTATGTAAGAAATTAGGTTGACTATCCACATCGTGAGCTCAGCAGGACTGCATCACACTGTGGAAGTTGGCAATTCTGCTCCTGTGAATTGTGTGCATTCTGGGATGTTAAGTGAGCATCATCTCTTAAAAGGACAGTTCACTAGTTAAGGTCAAATCTCAGTGGTAATTTTGATATAATTTTTGGTAATTTGTACATGCAATGGTGGTTTGGTCTGTTGTGTAGTGGAGCAAGAGGCTGTGTGAACATATCTAGTTTTTATCAATGTTTTTTCTTCATGTAATTTTGTAATTAGGCACATTCTTACATCTTCAATTATGAGGAACATTCACTACACAAATGTCTAAGAATCTGTACTTGGACTAACCACAGGTAACATTATCTTTCAGCTCATCATGAATACTTTCTGGAATCATTCATGGCTTATGTCTGGCACACTCGGCTTCACGTTTCCACCACTAACATATTTGGCTATACAGGTTGTACCTCTCTAGTCCGGCAACCTCGGGACCTGACCGGTGCCGGACCATGGAAATTCACCCTTTTCCTGGATAGATAGTGACTTGTGCTTATGCCTGGAAGCACTAGCACCACTTTCTCTGTGTCATGGTCTCTTTGAAGACATATTGAAGGGTTAAATGTCGTATAGTAGCTTCTCAAATTTCGCGAGTTTGTAATTCTTAACGTATTTTATTGGAACACAAAAAAATAAATAAATAAAAATTTTGACGGCGGAAACTTGAATTTCGACGGGTTTGAACGGCCCGCCAACGTGCAGACGACGTGCATAATCGTGTAAACAGCGTCATTTCTCTTATGTACAAAAGATTCATTATTGTTTATTACTGAATGTCTTTTTTATTGAATTAATGTTTATATGTGCAAAATGAGCAATACAATTCATTAATAATACGTAGAAAATTAAAACACACGAGGAAATGACACAGCATTGTTTTCGTTGATTACAAAACCAGTGACTGACTGGTTCTACATATAAAACTGAAGAAAATAAGACCTTGGGTGTAGCTGTAGTAAAATTAATATGGTTGTTTTAAGTAATGTTATTTAATGTTAATAAATGGAACAATAGAAGTAGCTAACGATAATGGTAAAGAAAAAGAGAGATCGCATATGTAAGTGCGCATGCGCACTCGTGAAAACATATCGTCATTACTTTACATAAGAATATGAAAGCAACACTTATTTACTGTTCATATATATTTTAATTAATGTTTCTGAATTTGTTTTTATTGAATTAATGTACGTGTGTGCAAAATTAACAATACAATTTATTAATAATAAGTGGAATATTAGAGGAGATGAGACCGCTGCCAGCATTGTTTATGTTAAAGCTTACGAAACCAGTGACATTGGTTCTACATATAAAACTGAAGAAAATAAGACCCTGAGTTTAGCTGTAGTAAAATTAATGTAAAAAATGAATATGGTTGCTTGAAGTACCTGTAATGATATTTAATGTTAATAAATGGAACAATGTAAGTAGCTAACCATTAATGGTAAAAAAAAGTGAGACTGCTCGTATGTAAGTGCGCACATGTGAAAATACATCGTCATTACTCTACATAAGAATATGAAAGCAACACTTATTTACTGCTCATATATATTAAAGGGT